TCGGGACCGCGAGAGATAGAGAGAGAGAGAGAGAGAGAGAGAGAGAAGGGGGTTGATCGCGCGCGGGGGTTGCTTACGGCTCGCGACGGGGGTCGAAAATTCGCGCGGTTCAGCAATTATCGCCCTGATACCGGCGGCGTGCGGATGCCGCCGAAGGAATTGAAGCCTGGACAAGGGATGAGAACGCGATGCCATGTCGCGGGCTAGTGCAGTTGACAAATCGTAGGGTGGGCTAGAGAAAGGGGGAGGCGCGATCACAGCAAGAGGCGACACTTACCGTCGAAGTATTGGGAGAACAGCACCCTGGTGTACGCGGTCATCGCGCTGCCCCAGCTCGGGTTCTCCACGTTGTTGCAGGTGCCGTCGATGCTTCGGTACCTGGACCTCTCGTCGCACTCCACGTTATGCACCGCGGCGCAGGACTCACCGAGCGGGGTGCCCCGCAGGCCCAGCGTTGACACGTAGCGAGCGCAGTCGTTCTTATCCAAGCCGAATCTGCGACAGGATCGAAGAAGGAGCGATCAGACGTCGATTGAATTGTGCAACCCCTGAGCGAAGATCGATAATCACGCGACGGCAGCCCGCGTCGATCATCAGTGGAGAAAATGTTATTGAGATACGCGGGACGTCGCATTTGGATGGTTTAAAACCAATGATTTGTAATTTTTAAATAACCTACACTGGCCAATATTTTTATTTAGAAAACACTACAACGTTTCGGTCCCAGATTTGGACCCTTTTCAAGTAATCTGTTTGGACAATATCACTATGTTAGTAAGATATTTAGTTGAGGGGGATGCAAGTTAGTAAAAAATGTTTGCACTCTTTGGTTGAAGAGTGCAAAATTAATTCAAGTTGCATCATTATTTGTTAAACACAAGTAAAAGTGTCAAGAGATGTGTTTTGGACGAGAAATCGGATCTGAGAGAGAGAGAGATCCAATCTCTTCAATCAAAAAGTGCAATCATTTTTTACTAATATCTTACTAACATAGTGATATTGGCCAAAGAAACGATATGAGACCATTAATAATTGTGTGAACAGATTACTTGGAAAGGGTCGAAATCTGGGACCAAAAAGTGCTTTTTAAATAAAAACGTTGGCCAGTGTAGGTCGTTTAAAAATTACATATTAACGACAAAAAAAGTTCGAGGAACGTAGCGGTTTCGTAGCGAGACCATCGGGATGCAAAACGTTAAACAATTCGCAAGACATACCTTCGGCAGTTTTGTTGCACGAGATACGACGACGCCTTCGTTGCTACGATGGCATCGATACTCCTGTCGAAAGCATCCGCGGAAGGATAGGAGCTCCAGAATTGCTTCTCGGCCGGACTCCGCGCCTCGAGCTCGACACCGGCGTTCACGATATTCCTCTCGAGGGTGCTCATACGATCGACTAACGTTTGCGCGAACGCGATTGAGTTGTTCAGTGTTGCGCCATCGATCCTGGGAAATCTCCGATTTTGGAAACGACCGGTATCCACAATGGCTTCGGAACCGTAATTCGATGGCAGCCCTGAAAGCGATTCTTTGAAATATTTCGAAATAATAAATAAAACTAGAATCTGAGCGACGGATAAAGTTTAAACGCGATGAGATCCGAAATTCTTTGATAAAAGCCTTTGTGATTCAATTGATTAAATTGTATCTCTTCAATCTGGGCACTCCTTTCGAGATAAATTAGTTAAGCGTATCTGGACTGTTTCCAAATATTGCTAAATTGACGCGAGGCCAAAGATAGGTAATAAACGAAATTGCGTTAAAATTTATTTCTTCGGAAACAATTGCAATTCTGGAGGACAAATGATATAACGATTAAAACGCAATTCGACACGACATCGTTAATTATAGTGCCGAGAGTTTCCCAAAGTGCCTATGGAAAGTAAATCGCTAATCGATTGTCCTCGGCCTTAAGACGCAACATTTTTAATACTATTTCTGATAAAAATATCTTGCTAAACATATCACGAAATCGATGAAAAATGAAATAAAAAGTGACAGCGTATTGAATGTATCCCAAAATTAATCAATTTAAAATTTAATGTGATATTGCGAAATGTGAGGAAAGAATATTATGGAAGATTAGATGTTACAAAATTTACCAAATTCAACCGAATAAAAGCCGTGTTACTTTATAATTAAAAAATTTTGCAAAGGTCTTTCACTGGAATGTTGATAAAATGATAACGAAGCAGAGCTAATTGAGAGAGATTTTTAGATACATTTCAAAATTTCATCGTGTCTTCAGTACAGTATTTCCACCAGGAGCTCCATAAATTCGATTACACGTACCGGTATAACTGGCGAGATAATTGTGCAGAGACTCGGGCAGCTGATAGGTGCCGATCGAATGTGAGTGACCCAGAAGTCCCATCGACTGCAGGGACACCCAGAGGATCGCCAGAGTTGCAACGGAGCCTGCCATGACGCCGCCGGCTGCACAAAACGGAGAACTGACCAGGACTGACTAACGTAAGATCGCAGAGACGCGTTCCTCTTGCATCCCAATACGTGACTCACGCGATAGCACCACGTTAACTTGCACGCGCGCGGCGCAAAGAGAACGACCCTCTCTCTCTCTCTCTTTATCCGTCCCTCTCTTTCTCTCTCTCTCTTTCTCTGTTCCTCTCTCTTTCTCTCTCTTTCTGTCTCTCTCTCGTCGCGAATGAAAATGTCGTATTAATATCGCGCGGTTCGCCCGAAAGGATGTCACCGCACCTCCTCCTCCATCCCGTTTGGCACCCGTCCCGTTCGCAAATACCGGACATACATGTGCACGAGTGACCGTTGATTAGCAAATTAAATGATACCTCGATATTCTTTTTACTACAGATTTATTGTCGTACAACATTACCACATTTTCATTGCTGTTAAATATGCCCGCTAATCAAGTTCTTATCTTATGTTGGCATTAAACATGACCTTTCTGTGTGTTGTATGAAAAAGTTGAATATAATTTAGAAAATAGCATTGTTCAGGAGAGAAAGAGAGGGGGGAGAGAGAAAGAGAGTCCTTAATATCATCAAACTTATTAATTTTAAATAGGTATATTCGATCTTATCATTTTATTTCTTTGCCGATACGATCATGTCGGCTTTGTCTAATGCTAATGCATTTACATTCGTTGATATACTCTCTAAAAAGTCATTCAGTGGATTATTACTGAAAACAGTAAGTAGTAATTGATTTACAGTTATAAGTATACCACTACAATTTTCAGTAGTATACTTATAACTGCGAATCAGTGACTATTCACTGTTTTCAGTGATAATTCACAGATTGACTTTTAGAGAGTAGGTATATATCGTTACACTGTAACTTAAAATTCTAATTTTCCAGTTGCTTGCAAACGACTGGTAAGAAGTCAATATAAATAATACCAGTTAGATACTTTTGTTTTTCTACATAATCAATTATGGCACGAGATTCAAACGCTTGAACATAACTAAATCTTGACGATTCAAAATATTTGAGCTCATTTTCTAGAGAATTTGGTTTTTGAATTATATCATTGTTGCGGCAAATGCGCGATATATATCTGGTATTCGTTCAATAGACTTCCATCTTCGCATTTGTAGTAAGACAAAACCGAGGGGGAAACCGCTGAGGGCATTGTGGTGTACACGCACCGGCATAAATGCCGTCCCTATCCGTGTGAGGCGCACACACACAACAAGCGAACGACCAATCCGAAAGTCGTGCCGCGGTCGTCCGACGATCGGATTAGTCACCCGCTTGTTTGTGTGCGTGAGTCTCACACGGATATGGACGGCATTTATGCCGGTGCGTGTACAGATTTGCGGCATTACTGGGCATTACTAGGTATTTTTGTGGGCATTAGTTTGGGCATTAGGCCTTGCTGGGGCATTATATAAAGATGAAATAAGATTAAGTAAGATAAAACAAGGCAAATAAAATAAAATACGATAATAAGATAAAGCAATGCCCACTGGGCATTAATGGGCATTGGTGTACAGAATTTTGGTCAGCGGTTTTTCCCTCGGACAAAACTTTCCTTGCGTTTTTACGCGTTGCTGCCAAATGTTAATGTTTTTATTGGCGAATTACAATGCCAGGTATTTTGAAGGGCTCGTTGAGACGACCGAAATATCGTTATCGACCGTTGTTCCAATTTGATACGCCAATGAAAATCGAAGAAAATTGCCGAGAAATTAGACACGACAAAAATGCTCGATGTTTACAAACAACAAACGAAACGTTATTTAGCCGCGTGGTCTTCTCGAGACATTAACACATGTGACGCGATGCGATGCAAAACCGTTGATGAATCGTTTGACCTCGATGAACTCGTAACGAAGTAACGTTTCATCGAATCAACGACGGCACTTGCAAGCAATTTTCAAAAGCGGCACGTTAGTCTGATGGATTTAAAAATGCGTATAGTTTGGTGAAGACTTATAGGTACAAGCGAATAAAGAGATAAAAATAGAAGGAAACTCAGGTTCAAACTCTTGTATTGCTTTTCGCAATAGACTTAAAATTAAAATTATTTAGACGCTAACATCCTGTCTTGGCTTTTACTCTTTTATTACTTCGCATTTGAGATAATCTTATCAAGTGCATTGCCAAGTTTTGACAATTAATTCAACGTGCACTACAATGGTTCACCCGCGACGACACCGGCCGGCGAATTCTTTTACGTTCTGCCGCGACCTTCGCGCGTGTTCTCTCAGTTATTTATAGATCGTGTTTTTTACCGGGACTATCAGCAAAGCGACACGCGTCTGTGTGCAGTTCCTATCCGTATCTCGTTAATGTAGTAAACACGCGCGCGGCTGTTCACGCGCGTCGCACATGGCTAGGTGTAGCTAACTCGTTATCACGTTGATACTGCATTCCTCTTCAACCGAGAGGATGTAGCGAGAGTTTTGACAATGGCGACGAGGCAATGGGGACTTCCTCTTTGTCCTGCGTTAGAAGTCAAAGTCAAATAATTAATCTTTTATCGATCGACATTGCAGATCGGGCATTAAACTCGTTGGATCTCGATTCTGGTAACGTGACAGCTGAAATGCCTCTCGCTGCTATCCGATCGGGATACGCGCGAATTAAACTTCTCACAGTTGTTCCGAGCTCACGAGCGATCGTACCGAATAGAAAAAAAAAAACTTTTGTATACGGGTTGATGATACTATTGACACGTGAAATGTTAAGTATAGCTGCCTGACGTGCAACATCGTCGTGGAAGTCTTTTCTATGCCGTTGCGCGAACGGTGTGAATCAACAAATTACAAATGCAAGACATGCACTTGCGAGACACGTGAACAGCAATGATGGCGTCGCTAATATTAGTACGTTCTGGTAAACAGATTCCAGCTCGTTAAGGAGTGAAGACTATGAGTAAAGATTAAAGTAGAAATCGCGTTTTCTCCGTTTCTTTAGGTGTCTACGAAGCGACCCAATAAATTGGCGCAATTTTGGGAAATAATGTAAATCCGGTATTCCCAATTGGTACAATATTGCAAGATGGACGTCTACTCTTATTTAGCCAATGTGTCCAAACAACAGGTTTGGAAATCTTGGTTAATGCACTTGCAACATAAATCCAATATATCTTGTCATTACTGGCGTGCAACACTCGCATTTATTCTATGGGCAATACTGGTTTTACATTGAGAAATATTAGCCAATACGTTCCCAGCCTAACCAATGTCGAATCAATGTAGGGCCATTGGCTGCGCTCAGCAGAAAAAGTTGCTTTGCAACTGTTTGAAAATTTGTAAATCCGATTGGCGTGCACTCTCTTAATCCTGAGTGAATTTAATAGCATAGGCCAATCAGATTCATGAATTTCACAGCAGTTGCAAAGCAGCTCTACCTGCTGAGCGCAGCCAATGCACTGTACTACTCTATAGAGATGACACGTTCGCATCGTTTCACGCTAGAGACGTGTCAGCGACAGCGGCATCGCTTCTACAGTCTCTGAAGAAGAATCCCGGCAACATTTCGATGCGATGTTTCAGACATTCCAGAACACTGACGTTTCCCCACCAAAACTCCTAGGTACTTATTGACAGAGCATTACCGGATACATGATCCATGGGCTTTTCTAAGCCGTGCATCGCGTACACCCAGCGATTGTTGTCGACCGGTGCGATGAGAAACATTCTCCGACGGTGCAGCCAGACGTAACAATATAAAGAGACGCGGTCTCCGTTACGGTCCTTGTCACTGATTGTCTCGCCAGCACAATTCGCGCCCACTGGGCGCAACACGGCTGCGCGGTTCTATTCTACCACACTGATCGTCGCGAATTTGCCGGCCCCGTGCGAACGAAAAAGAAAAATTGCGAAAACTCGCGACCGCGCGTCTCCGAACTCGTGTCAGGTATACGCAAGGTGGTGGACGCGTGGCGGCCGACAAACACGCACTTCGCCACGATGGCGATACACAACGGAGTTTCACGCTGCGAATACACAGATTTCCCTCTCCATTTCTCCGTTTCTAGTCTCGCTCGAGAGGTCCGCTAGAGAACCCGCCTGGCGTCTCGTTCATTCATTTATTAGCGCGCCTTTATTCCGCTCCCTCTTTCGTCTCAGGGTCGACGCGAATCGACACGAATTGGAGTATTGGCCGATAGCACCCGGCTGTCCGAGTACTCGAGTATGCGGATTCCGCTCGACATGCGCGAGAAATATAAGACACTCGTAGTATCTTATTAAATGGGAACTCGTATTATCCATAATATTAGCCACGTACGTAGATTCCGAGAGTGTTTGAAGGATTTGGAGAGCATTAAATATTATAGGGACGTTGCCAGGATATCCTCAGTATATCCTGAAGAAGTACTGATTTAAAATGATATCGTTGCTTGCACTGAGAAAATTTTTCATCGATTAAACCGATCAAAAAGTATTCCCGATTAAATTATGGATATACCCGATAAAATTTGATCGACAGACCACATTTTTCGTCGGATATATCCGTTTGATATTATGTAATTGGATTGTCCGATTATATTTAATCGGACATTTCTCACAGTGTGTACCCAGAAAGAAGTTTCTTCGAAATCAAACGAATTTTCTTTGAACTTAGACCTGGCTGGACTTTTATGTAATTTCAAATGAATTCCTTTACCTTAGCCCAAGTTTTATTTGATCATGACCGGAATATCCAAGAGAATTTATACTTTTTCAAATCTAGCAAATGTTTCAGCAGAAGTAAATTAAAATGTTGCAGACTCAGAGAAACGTGATTTCAACGTACATCATCTATCGAACTTAAATCGATCTTTTTCTGGGTGTAGGGATCTGAAAATGCGGGTAACGAAGATAACCCAGGTGTTTCTAAATATTTCCGCTGATAAGGCGGCTACTCGGCTCAAGTTTTGCATATTAATTCATCCGATTAACTGATTGAGCAACTATCCAAGATCGAATCTTCACGCCTATAGTCGACTCTCAATCAACGGCGAAGACCCTAGTCCTGGTGCTTGCCGGGTACGTTACTGAGTACCTCGCACACAGACTGTCCGTCTTAGTTCCACTCGCGTTTTTCCACGTTCTCCGTACTCGTTTCCTCATACACTTGAGTCCGCTTAAAGCGATCTCGCTCTCCTCCTCTCTCACTCGAGCGGTCTCCCTCGATCACGTGCACACGTTACGCACATTGATTCCTCAAAGGTTCTCCAGCTCGCTCACTCCTTCGCTCTCTTCATTCATCTCGCTTGGCGCGATGACTCGCCTGCGTTCCCATTGGCTCGCACCCTCCCCGGCAAGAGCGAGTCACCTTATTTAACTTGGAAAAAAAAATTCTATCACGCGGTGAGCACGTGCTCGTCCACCTCCGTCCCTCCGCCGCGCGGTTCGTTGCATGCCGGCTTTCAGAGCGTTGCCGTTAAGTTCTCGTTTGTTTCTTAGATAATACCTTCATTCTTTAAAGCGCTTTTTTTATTAGCACACGGCCGAAAATTTGAATGGAAAATTTGAAAAGAATACCGTAAGGAATAATAAAGAAGATATTTGGAAGATATAATCCTAACAGTGATCCTCGTTTCTCTAAGGTACTCCGATACTCGGCGTTTTTCCTTGCAATCCAAATGCTCTCTCTCTCTCTATTCGTCATTATTGATCTTCAACGTATAATTGAGGAAGCTTCTTTTAGTAACGTTTTTTTTGTATTAAAAATTGCCAAAATATCTTTAATTTACTGACATATCACCGCTCTCATCAAGTGTTAGGCGCAGGTAGTGATCTTACACTGGGAAAAATAGCCGATTAAATATAAACGGATAATCCAGTTAATGTGATTAGTTTTTCAATCAAATTTCATCGGACATGTATATAATTTAATCGAGAAACTCAACCATAGGAAACACTATTTAATTGGTTTGTCCGATGGAAACTGTTCTCAGTGTATCTTAGATATTATAGGAGCGAGAGAAGCGCGGTCGGAGACGACACATTTTTACCTGTCAACCCGGGGGAAAATGGAAAACATCTCATTATGTTTGTCTCAGTCATGTAATATCTAATTATATCTTGTAAGATCCACTTCTAAAAGTCATCAGATCCTCAGAGATTATCCATTGAAGTCAATGAATCTATAAATAAATTTTCTAAGAAAACATAATTGGATCTCAATAGGTAATAACATTGAAGATTCAATAAAAGTGTCAGATCTCTGAAGATCTGATGATTTTAAAATTGGATGTAATTAGGTGTTACATGATTGAGACATTGCGTAATGAGATATTTTTATTTTTCCCGGAAAAATCGCACTTTTATCGTGGATAAGACTTGCAGTCTGACATTTTGTAAACACCGAAGAAACTTTCCATCGGATAAACCAATTAAATAGTGTTTCGGATGATTAATTTTTTCGATTAAATTACGGATATTTCCGGTGAAATTTATCTGATGAAATTTGATTGAAAGACCGGTCATATTTTTCATCGAATATACAACTTAATTGGATACGCCCGCTTGTTATTATATCATAGGATTATCCGATTGTACTTAATCGGGCACTTTTCTCAGTGTAGGCATGTACCACACACATAACAGGGCCCCGTAACATCTATACCTCAGCTTAGAGACCCAGGGAGGGATTTCGTCCTTTAAGGGGATGCT